ATGAGTTCCTCTGCTAACTTTTGGTCTTCCGCCGAGGACAAATCGACCTTATCAAATTGGATGAGGTGGAAGAAATCATTTATTAACTACCTGGAACTACTGTCTGTTTTGAATCCTATGATTTCACTTTCGGAGTCCCACAAAATATGACTATTCAGACAAGTGCTGGGAGATGAAGACCAGCGACATTATGATGCACTACATGTAGAAAGTTGTGACATTATTACATTGGCCTTGGATAAATATACCGAATTGTGAGGATTGAAACAGAATATACTGCGAGATACTGTTTTTCGAAGCTTGTACAGAAACCGAACCAGCGCGTCAACGACTTCATTGCACACAGCCATCAGTTTATTCTCGAGTGTAAATACAACGAAATTCCGCCCGACAAATTTGAAGAAGAAATGAAAATGCAGTGCTTATTTGCAGGGATTCTGGACGAAAGTGCACAGGAAAAATTGTTATCTTTGAACCAGTCAGATATCATGTGGGAGAATGCTTGTCTAATCGTTCGTCAAAAGGAGAATATCTCGCACCAGCTACGTGAATTCACTGCCCATCCAGTCGTCGATTCTGTTCACGCAGGTCAATAGTTCAATAGTATATGATAGGATAAAAAGCATGACTCTATAAGACCCACAGGATGGATATGCAAATGAAAATTAAAATCAAAATGTTCCAATGTGGAATGTGAAGTATCAGTGGGTAAACTATTGTACTTTATCAAACTGTTGTTTGGCGTTTATCACTAAGATGAAGGTCTAAGAGTCTTTCGAATGTCGCCATGTCTGGTGCGTTCACCACATAGTTTGGTAATGCATTCCAGTGGGAACAGTTTTTAAGTGAGAAAAAATACTTTCTACAATTCAAACGAGAGTGTTGCGTCATTATTTTCAGGTGGTTGCCTCGGTTTTGTTTGTATGGAGTTAGAGTCAACAGTAATGTACATGGATGCTCGCTTTCGGTTAATATTCGGTATGTGAGAGTAAGAGCTCCGTGAAGCCGTCGGTATTATAATGAGAACACACCGAGTACACGAAGATGCAGTTCGTAACTTATACCGGATGGTCCACGCGTTGTCTTTGTGGCTCTTCTTTGGGGCTGTTCCAATAGACGGATGTCTCGTTTTAACCATGGACACCAAA